GGGGGGCCAAAAAGCATCAAAATAACAAAATAGATACAACAATATTTTATCATTAAACATCATCAGCTATATGAAGCAGATCATCGGCATCCAGGTGCGTGATATTTTCATTCATCACATCGTCAAATGTGTCATCGTGGGCAGCGTGATTTGTTTCGACAGCAACTCTTCCCTGCCTTTCCTTTGAGGCTTGATACAGTTCAGCCAAGTGATTGGCTGTGCGACAAACATGGGCCCAATGGCCTTTGATTCCACACCGGGTGTATTCCTCGTCATTGTTTCTGTTTCTCCCGGTGTTGAACCTCTGTTGAGATCTGTACGGCCTTCTGTCATTATATCGCTGATTTGGCACATATCGAGGCCTGTTTTGATAATTATTGTGACTGTATGCGTTTGCCCAGCCTCGTCCGCGATTCTGATTTTGATCGCGATCAATTCGCTGATTTCTGACTTGGCCACGACCACGCACCGGATTTGCCGGTTGTATTACATTTGCCTCTGGAAATGGATTTGCACATGTTGGTCGAGATTCGTGATTTTTCAACAGCAATTCATTATTTTGTTCGGCCAGCAAAAGACAGGTGATCAGCTCATAGCCTCTTTTGCGATACTGCTGCTGCAAAACCATGTTAGAGGCATAAAAAGTGGAGAAAGTTTTCTCCATCATATCAGATTCAGATACATTTTCGTCACACGGCGCAGCTGTGATGTTATTTTAAACATGGCAGAATTATATCATTTGACTGTTTTAAAGTCCTGAAGCCGTAGGCTTTGCCATTCGCTTCGTGCCCTTGGAAACGATGTCAGCCTCAAATGATCATATCTTTCTTTCAATCTCTCCCACAATTCGAGTGGGGATTCCAGCGTGACATACTACATTTTCAGTGCCTCATCGATGTGATGGCACAAAAAGATCATAGCCTTTGCACGATCTTGGCTCGGGGAGTTTTTATCCCGGGCAATGGTATTTTCCAAGTCCATTGATGCCGGATGCATTTTAACATCACGAGCCCATGCCATATAATTTTGGCCATAAACGATGAGAGGAAGAAATTCCTGTTTGGCAAGGTTAGTCATAATAAAAAGATAAAATATGAAATATTACCTTGCGGAAATAAAAATATAATATTATTATAGGATTAGCCAATAGAAATATTAATTATTCATACCGCTAACCACTATTTTATATATTGTATATAATATATATATTTGTAATAAGTGTACGTATATTATAATATATAATATAGACGTATAGTATATATATGTATGTATGTATGCAAAGATTTATATATATATATAATATCATATAATAGAAGTAACCAAATGGAGAGAGCACAGATTGAGAATGAAAAATTGGAGTCAGAGATTGAGAATGAAAAATTGGAGTCAATAATTTCATTTCGTCTACAGATATATTTATAGGCGAACAAACCCCTACACGAAGGAAAGAAAAGCAGACATAGCTATTACGCAGCACCTTCACTGTGTGTATAACAAATGAAACTTTTAAATTTAACTTTGAATTAAAATTGATACGAAAGTCATAATAATTGGGTGTATTTATTTTACAATTTTAATCTATTCTTTAATATAAATTTTATTAAAAAAAAAATTCCTTATAAAATATATATCAAATTCATACTATTATTCGAAATAAAATTCCAAAAAAAAAAAAAACAACTAACTAAACACATTTCCAACAAATTGAGTATTATTTATTATTTTTATGATGTCGAAATCCGACCTCGCTATCACTAGTTCATTGTCGTACTATCAGATCATCTCGTACGAGATAAAAATTGAATATTTTTTATCGGAACAAATTGAGTATTATTAATTATATGTGATAGTATTTACTCCCTTCGTCATCCAATTGGGTGCTCAATTGATCGGGTACTGATTTTAAGAGAAATAAGTAAAAATAAAAACTTTTACTTTTTTGGATAAAAAAAAAGTATAAAAAAGAATATTTTTATACTAAATAAAGAAAAATGAACAAATTTGAATGACAAAAAAAAAAGAAAAAAGTGATAATAGATTTGGACGACAAAATGAAGACTATATAAGGAATTGACAAGCTTTTCACAAATATGATTAGCACATGATAAATTAATACTTTGACTATAAATTATTTTATTTTGTAATTCTATTTGATATTACCAAAACACATATTCAATAATATAAAATTATAAATTATTTTATTTTGTAGTTCTATATATTTTTTTTTTTTGATCGGATTTTGTAGTTCTATATTGATATTACTAGAGATGGAAATAAGCCATATCAGGCTAAGTTTTGGTTAAATAGGTTGTAAGCCTGAATTTCTTTTTTTTTAAAGCCTGAGTCTAGTTTTTTTAAAAGCCTAATTTGGCCTACAAGTTTATTTAATAAACTATATAACATTTTTATTTATTTATTTATCTGCAAATTTAGTTATAAATAAAAAAATAGAGTAAACTGGTTTTTTAGTCTCGTAACTGGATCCCCTTGTCATTTAGTCCCGTAAGTGGAACCTGTCGCAAACTAGTCCCATAAGTAAAAAAATTTCGCTGTTTTAGACCTCCGGTGCCAGAGACGCCCGCGTGGCTCGCCGGAGGTGACGTGTCCGCCAGGTCAGCGACACCTGGCGATGACCTGGCGGACATGTGGATTTTTTTATTTATTTTTATTTATTTTTTATTTTTTTAAATTTTTTTAAAACTTATTTTTAATTTATTTTTAATTTTATTTATATATTTTTAATTTTTTAATTTGATTTAATTTTAAAAAATAAAAAAAATTGAAAAAAATAAATAAATCCACGTGTCGCCAGGTGTCGCTGACCTGGCGGACACGTTACCTCCGGCGAGCCACGCGGGCGTCTCCGGCTCCGGAGGACTAAAACGGCAAAAATTTTTCACTTATGGGACTAGTTTGCGACATGCTCTACTTACGGATTACGGAACTAAAAAAACAGTTTACCCTAAAAAATAAATAAAGTATAAGCAATTATTTAATATATATAAAAGTTAAAAAATTCTATTCTTTATAATAAATTTATAATTAAAATTATTTAATAAATATTATTATTAGATAAAAAGTAATTTTTAATATATAATTATAAAAAGTATTTTTATAAAAAAAAATAATAATATTAAGTAGGTTGCCTGTTAATTAAAAAGATTTTTTTTTAAGCCTAAATTTGTTTTATTTAGATAAAAAAAAACTTTAAAAAAAAAAATTGACTGAACTTTTTCAGTAAATAAATCGGACCAGGCTAAACCTTATGTTAGACCATAGGGCAGGCCGCCAAAACATATTCCCATCCCTAAATATTACCAAAACAGCATATTCAATAATATAAAATGACACGTGAACAATAATTTAATAAACTAAATTATTACTATTAAACAATGTTAATAGAATTCAGCATTTTAGATCATCTTATATGTCAAAATCTAATTATATTATACAATTACAATCAATACATGCATACATATATAAGTAGTTTTTTTTTTTTTAATCCTTTTAAACTTTGAAAATAGCAAAATTTAATTTTTAATAAAATAACACATTTTATATATAAGTCTATTGTATTGAATTAAAAATAATAGTAATAATAATATTCCACATTCTGGGGTCACTTATAACATAAAATGCATGCTAGTATAATAAAAATTCATAGTATAATTATACTTAGGTTAATAATTCACACAATATATATTATTTTAATTTCAATTATATATAAAAAAATATCCTCTTTATCTTTTAAATTTTTTCTTTTTTTTTAAAAAAAAATATACTCCCTCCGTCCCATAACTAAGTATCCATTTACTTTTTGCGCGTTGATCTTTGAATATTAATTATTATATCAAAATATATTACAAATCAAGAAAAAATTGCAAAAATATTTCTATTAGTGTCTTATGATACTAATATAATGACATTTGTATAAAAAATTATATAAATATAAGGATATTTTTAACGTTAAGTACAATGACACAAAAGGTAAATGAATACCTTGTTATGGGACGGAGGGAATACCACTTTTTACAAATATTTTTTTTAACTATAAAAAATAAAAAGTATCAAAAAATTTCAATCAAAGGTTCAAATATTAAAATTTATGCATATTTTTGTGAGATGGAGTCATATTATATAGTATTAATTTGATTCGGTCTACACATATAATCAAGATATATAGCATATGATATAATCTCATATAATACGATATAATTTCACATATTATAATATATTATTGATTTTAATATGATAAACATATTTATACAGTACAGAACAAATATAAACATTTATATTAAATACTCCTTCCGTCCGCTTACAAAGTTTACATATTTCTATTTTGGGACGTCCAATTATAAAGTTTACATTTCATTAAATACTCTATTTTTTTCCACAAATACCCTTACTTTACATCACATCATTACTTTTACACAAAAAAGTAAGGGCAAAAATATCATTACACTACTTTTAACTACTCACTATAATTAAAATACTATTATTTCTTAAACACCGCGCCAAAAGTAAATGTAACCCTTATAAATGGACGAAGTGAGTACTTTTATATGACACAATATTGTATCGTGCTATATAGAATATATGAGGTCCATGCCCGTATAATAATTATGTCAAATTAGTATCAAAATCAATATATATATACACCTTTGCCATTCAATATATATATATTTTTTAATTATCATCTAAATTTATTCTGATTTTTTTTTAAAGGAAAAGAAAATGAGATACCATTTTTTCTATTTCTTTTTACCCTAAAACAAATATTTTTATTTTATCTATTTTTCTTAAAATGCATGCTCGACACATTTTGAGGTCGGAGCGAGTATATTATATATATATATATATATGCATGTATGTGCGTACAGTCTTTGTAAGAAATTCCATGTAATAACATGGGGTTGTGCCATCGACCAATCATTTATATCACATGGTCACCCACCCCACCCCGCCCCACCCCACCCCCCACTTATTAATAAAAACAGATAGACAGAATTTCCACAGCCACATTCAGTTAAATGGCCCAACTTTCCTCTCTCTCCTTCATCCTCTTCCTCTCCGCCGTCCTCAGCCTCACCTCCTCCGCCGCCGCCGCCGCCGCGCAGCAGCAGTTCCTAGCGCGGCAGAACGCCGCCCGGTCGGTCCTGAATCTCCCGCCGCTGGTGTGGGACCAAACAGTCGCCGGCTACGCCCGTCGGTACGCCGGCCGGCGCCGGCGTGACTGCGCCCTGCGGCACTCCGACGGTCCGTACGGGGAGAACATATTCTGGGGCAGCGGCGACCGGTGGACGGCGGGGCAGGCGACGGCGGCGTGGGTGGCGGAGCGGCGGGGTTACGACCACCGGACGAACAGGTGCGCGGCGGGGCGGCAGTGCGGTCACTACACGCAGATCGTGTGGAAGGAGAGCCGCCGTGTGGGCTGCGCCAGGGTGGTCTGCGGCGGCGGAAAGGGGGTTTTCATCACCTGCAATTATGATCCACCTGGGAATTATGTTGGGGAGAGGCCCTATTGATTAATTAATTAATTAAGAATTTTTATTTTATCAATTCAATTTTGACATTTTTGTAGCGTAATATAGTAAATTTTGTGAATTTTTTTATTGGATAATGTTAAAGCAAATTGGTGGCAATATTTTGAAACTCAGCGTAAATTTTATTTTACTTTAATAATTGTATAACGCTTATTTATACCTTAAAAAATGCGAAAATTTTCATTATTCTTAAAAAATTGTATGACTTTTTTTATATTAAAAAAAATATTACATAAAACTTTATGTTATGCAAAAAATATAGATAAAAAATTATATTCTCATCACACAAGGGAGGTTTTATGTCGGTGGGGTTTTATGCAATATTTTTTAAATTATAAGAAAGTGTCATACAAATTTTTAAGTATAGTAAGATTTTACGCTAAATTTCGAAACCACGTGAGAATTATGAGCAATTTTAATTTTGTAGTAAATTTCTCCTACTTTTAGCCATAAATATATATATTCATGTCAAATATGATAGCAAAATATTCTCGGTATAACATTAGTTTTAATTTATAAAGTCATAATAATTTTTATATTCCCCCCTTAAGTGAATATGCGTTCGAATCTAATGTATATTAGGATTATATTGATATATAATATGAACAAAGTAAAAATAACTAAAATAATTTTATAATTATTATGTGATATAAAGATAATGACATTTGTATAACATATTATAAATTGTAATAGTATTTTTAATGTTAGATAGAAATCATAATTACTAAAAAAATTAATAGTATAACATACTTAGATAGTTTGTTAAGAAATAAATGAGTAAAATATATCATTATATCTTATTATAAAATAATTTATAATTTGTTAACTCATACACTATTTATAAGCTAACAAGATTTTGTAGTAGGTTAAAAAATTATAGTATTTTATTAATTAGTTAAAGTATTTAAAAGTGTTTTTGATATTTTTTTTCTTTAAATTATATATAAAGTAATTGTACGTATAAAAGTATATTTGTAATTTAGATAAAAATTAATAGTATTTTAATATTAATATATAATTACTTTTAATATAATAAACAAACGAGTTTATCAAAATAATATACCGCATTTTCAGTATATACCGAAAATTATAATATATATACTGTTACCGTGCCAAAAAAAATTGTTACGGTAACATATCGTACAGAAATTTTGGTATATCAAAATTTTCGGTATTTTTTAGTTACATCCCTCTTTTGTCTTGTTTCTTCTATCTTTCTACATCTTCTTTGTCCCATTTTTCCATTGATAATCTATTGCCCCTCTTCTGGATGTGAAGATGCCCAGCAACTTCAAAACTTATTTATTTATTTATTTTAATTTTACTATTTAAACTTTATCCAAATAAAATAAAATAAAATAAAAAGAATACACCCAGTTATCAGCTTCTATGACACTAACTCCAATCAGAGTAACACAATAATATATATGTGCATAGGAGTTGAGGTCCATGGGGTTAATAAGACCATCTTCGATTCATCAATTTTATTTATTTATTTTTAACTTTAAATATACAATTATTACAGTAATTTTATTTTAATCATAATTTAATTTTCACTATTATTCTTTAAATATTCAATTTTTCTATTATTTTAAACAAAATTTTATTAATATAATTTAAAATATATATTTTTTTTAATTTAGAAAAATAAAAAATAAATTTAAAATTTAAAATTTTTTAAAATAAATAATAAAAGAAAATGAATCAAACGTTGGCGTTGCACTGTGGCAATGCAAAAAAATTGGCGCCCCAATGCCAAATCTACCAATAGATAAAATATCTTCCTTTCGTCTATTAATTAAATATTTATTTACTTTTTACACAAAGTTTTATGTATATTAGTATTATATTGATATGTAATAGAAATAAAGCAAAAATGATTAAAATAATCTTATTAGTATCGTATAATATTAATGTAATAACATTTTTATAATATATTGTAAATTGTAAGGATATTTGTAATATTAAATAGATAATACAATTACTAAAAAATATATATATTTTGTTATACCAAAATAAGAAAAATAGATAACTTGTGAAGGACCGAATGGAGTAAAATTTTTTGGTATATCATATAAAAAAATATGCAATTGATCAAGGGCATATTTATTTACTGTTTTAGTTTGAGATATTTTTTTTTTTTTTACGTAAGATAGAGAAAATTATGTTGACAGCATAAAAAATAATATTTTATCTTTAATACTCCTTCCGTCATCCAATTTTATGCTCATTTGACCAGACACAGGTTTTAAGAAAAATATGTAAAAAATAAAAATTTTTACTTTTTTTTTTTTGTAAAGAAAAGTGGTATTTTTTTACTAATAAATGAAAATGGAATAAATTTGGATGACAACTAAAAAAAGAAAGTGAAAATAGATTTGAACGAGGGAGGGAGTATAAAATTTTTACAAAAGAATATAATATATATTATATATATTGAAATTGTGTCAATAAAAAATTTATTTGGATGAACAAAGTCTAAACATTTTTTGTATATATTATAATATTTTGTATAAAAAATTTCAATATAATATTAGTCTATAATTTTTATATGTTTGATATGTCTGTTGTTTAATGTTAACTATAATCAGTCGGCATAATACTGATAGTACATAAAATATATACAAACAACACATAAATGTAAACAAACAATATAAGATATAATTAATATAATAAAAATATAATATACGATAGAAGTCCACATAATACACATTACAAATAATCGCAACATACAATATAAATTCACACAACATAAACTAAAAATTATTTGCATACCAAAAATTTTAATAAGATATACTTCTTTTGTCTCGTAATTATGTATTTATTTATTTTTTTGGATGTTGAATTTTAAATATTAATATTATATTCATACGTAGTACAAATTAAGAGGAAAAAAATATACTCCCTCCGTCCACTCATAAAGTTTACAATTACTTTTGGCGCGGTGTTTAAGAAATAATAATATTTTAATTATAGTGGGTAGTTAAAAGTAGTGTAATGACATTTTTGTCCTTGCTTTTTTGTGTAAAATTAATGATGTGATGTAAAGTAAGGGTATTTGTGGAAAAAAGTAAGGTATTTAATGAAATATTTACTTTGTAATTGGACGTCCCGAAATATAAATGTATATTTTTTAGCTGGACGGAGAGAGTATTTATTAGTGTTTTATAATGCAACTGTAACAACATTTGTATAAAATATAATAAAAGTATAAGAATATTTTTAATATTAAGTACAATGATGCAAAAGATGAATAAATATTTTGTTATGGAACGGAATAAATAAAATACAACATAAATTTTTTAATGGGACGGAAAAAAATATAATGGAGTATAAAATTTTTAATATAATGTAGTGAAATATCCCTATTTTAAAATAATTAGTCACTAACTCATTTATTTTCGATAAAGTGAGTAAGGTGGCTCACTAATTGCTGCTAAACTGCCTCTATTACAAGGCACTTTGATTTATTTAATTAATCAATTAATTAATTTTCTATTATTTAATAAATATCTTAGAGTAAAAAAAAAATATTTTCTCTGTCTCATAACTATATATTCATTTATTTTTTGCATTGAGTTTTAGAAATATTAATATTATATTGGGATGTAGTAGGAATAAAATAAAAATGACTAAAATAACTTTGTTAGTATTGTATGATATAAAGGTAAAGATATTTGTGTAATATATTGTAAGTTGTAAGAGTATTTGTAATATTAGGTAGATAGTACAATTACTAAAAAAAAATGAAATGAATACTTTGTTATGAGATGAACTAAAATGAAAAAATAAATAATTTTTTATGGGACGGAGGAAGTAATAATAATACTATTTCTAAGATATGTATATTGATACAATGGTAAAGACATAATAAATAATATTTAAATATCACAAAAAGTCAATGATATTTTTATTTTGGACGAAGAGATAGTATAATATTTTAAATAGAAAATATATTTTATACTTTATAATTGTTTTTATTTAAAAAAAGATTTGTATTTGTTATATAAAATTAATGATTATTATACTATTTTAAATAAAAAAATATAATATTATTATATTTGAAAATATGATCAATTGAATATTAGTGTTTTATCTATTTTTTTTTTAAAAAAAATAATTATGGCAAATTTTATTTTACATTAATATACAATTATTTTTAATATTTTATTCAATCATCATACTTTCTTATAAGATTAAATAGAATATTTTTTCTTACAAAATCGTATCAAAATCATGATTCAATAAAAATAAATATTTTACAAAAGAACTACTCTCCCCATTCCTAAAATTAAATGTGGGCATATTTTTATCCGTCGAGCTGTCTTTCCATGATATAATAAAAATTAAATACTCTCTCCGTTCAGGATCAATTTTCAACGGTAATGTAGGTACAGAAATTATGTAATATATATATATATATATATAATATTAAAAAAAATATATTGGTAAAAATAATTATAAATTAAGAATTAAGATTAAAAAAATTATATCATAAATTATAAATTTTAAAATATGATTAAAAAATATATTAGCATATTTTTTATATATATTGCATTTGAGGCCCCCGTATATACGTCTATATATATATATATGCATTCTCTTTTTAAGTTGAAAAAAATAATTTCTATTTTTCGCAAATATTCAAATATGGTATCAGAGCGGGAAGACTCCCGTTTGCAGATATATGATTAATTGCTGCATTTCCCTAATAGTTTGAGCGATTATTCAGCATCCGACATGAAAAAAAAATAATAATAATAACGATTTATGTATGACAACATAAGTAATGACAACATAAGTAACAATTTTATCCCTATTTTTTATTCTAAAAATTATATATATAAATAAATAATTATTTTAAAAAAAATTCAACTATCCCAAAATAGAAATAATAACAAAAGATTTAGAACCATACTTAATACGGTCTCTCGCCGATATAATTTCCCGGCGGATAATAATTACAAGTCATAAACACGTCACCGGAGTCGCAAACCACCCGGGCGCACCCGACCCGTCGAGTCGCCCGCCACACGATCTGCGTATAGTGGCCGCACATTTCTCCGCCGACGCAGCTATTACTCCGGTAATCGTAATACTTCTCCTCGTCGGCCCAAGCGCGCACAGCATCGGCCGGTGTCCACGACGCGCCGCCGCCCCAATAAATGTTCTCGCCGAGCTTGAAGTCGCCGTCCGGGAAGGAATGCTCGAGGGCGCAGTCGGCGCGCCGCTGCCCGGCCCACCACTTGGCGTAGCGCTCGAGCTGCGGGTCCCACGCCAACGGCGGCTCCATTTTCCGGGCCCGGACGAGGTTGTGGCCGTAGAGGAATTGCGCCGGCTCGCCGGTGCACTGCCAGCAGAGCTGCTTGGAGTCTTCGGTTTGGTTTTCCGGTGGCGGTTGTTTGGTAGCGATGGGCGGCACCGCCGGCCGGAGGTGGTGGGAGTGGGTGGTGGTGGTGGTGGTGAGAAGTAGTGTGATGAGTAGAAGCATGTTATTGGCTTGTGGTAGGAATGGAATAATGTGTGGTATAATATATAAATATATATATATATATATGTGTGTGTGGTTGGATTTGTGGTTAGAGATCTCATGGGATGGAATTTATTTAATTGATTCTTTTTTCTTCTCAATTCAATCTATTTTTTTACTATTTTTTGGCTTATATTTATCTTTTGCGTGTTTATTTGAATATTAATTATTATATCAAAACATAATCAAATCAATGAAAATGGCAAAAAATAATTTTATCAGTGTTTTATAATATTAATTAAATGATATTTGTAAAAAAATTTATACAAGAATATTTTTAATGTTAAGTATAATGACGTAAAATGTAAATGTAACTATTAGAGTCGAACAGAGAGTATTATTTTTTGGTAAAATTGCTTATAACTCTCATGTGGTTTCGAAATTCAGCGTAAAATCTCACTATACTTTAAAAATTGCATGGTACCCCCTTATACTTTAAAAAACGTTGCATGAAACCCCACCACCATGAAATTTTCCTCATGTGATAAAAAATGATTTACTATCTATATGTTTTGCATGGCACGGGGATTTCATGCAATATTTTTGAAAGTATAAGGGAGCGTCATGCAATTTTTTTAAGTAAAGTGATGATTTATGCTAAGTTTCGAAACCACATAGTGGTTTCATGCAATATTTTTTAAAGTATAAGGCGGCGTCATGCAATTTTTAAAGTAGAGGGAAGATTTACGCTGACTTTAGAAATCACAAGGGAGTTATGAACAATTTTGTCTTATTTTTTTCTGTCCTATTTAAAAATATTTATGTTCTATTATAGTAAAAGTAATTCACATGTAAATACTAAAATATTTTTCACTTTTTTTTTTAAAAAAAAAAATCATTTTCTTTGTGCTTGTGAAGACAAAAATGATAAATCATCTTACACACTTTTACCACTAATAAAGTATTATTATTTTTTATTTTACTATAAAAAAATAAATAAATAAATTGATATTTTGAGCCGATGGAGTATTTCTTTATGATGAAAAATATGTTGTTATAAGAAATTTAAAGTATGTCTAATTGTTTTAAAGACCGGTACGTTTGTTTAGTGTTTTAGTTTGAAATATTTTTTTATATGGAATATATATAAAAAATCGTATATGTAATATAAAAATAATAAAATTTTTGTTGAATGTAATTTTTTTGTGAGAGAATAAAAATAGATATTATATATTGAAAATTATTTTCATAAAAAAGTGATTGGACAAATACTCATTTTAAAAATATATATTTAATGGAGATATTATTCCGTAGAGAATAAAATATTACTTAATATAAATATTTAATTATATAAAAGAATTAAGAATTTTGAATACATATAAATATATTTTATATTGATTAAAAATATAAAAAATATAAATTATAAATAAATTATGTTCTAGTAAATATTTAAGAAAAAAAAAAAAAGAAAATTTAGAAAGTGAGCCAAACAAACCTACAAGTGCAATTTAATGTATAGTGTTAAATGGAATTTTGACTAAAGTAGTATGGTTGTTTGAATTCATTAATAATGCAAAAATATTTATTTGGTTTTTATGGTTAAACTCATATGCTTTACTAAATACAGTATATAAATATTTTTTTAAAAAAATAATTTAGATTTTGTAGGTTTTTAAAATATGATTATATTATTTACTAAAAACTTATCTAATTAAATTTTTGTTCTTTAGATTTTATTTTTTTAAAAAAAAAAAAAAGAAAAGAAAATACACACAATGGTTTGTTCATTTAGCATTTTTAAGTGGAATAATTTTTTTTTATAAATATTACTTCCTCCGTCCCATAACAAAGTATCCATTTTTTTATTTTAGTCCGTTCCATAACAAAATATTCATTTTCTTTTTTTTAGTAACTGTACTATCTACCTAACATTACAAACACCCTTACAACTTACAATATATTACACAAATATCATTACCTTTATATCACACATACTAATAAGGTTATTTTAGTCGTTTCTACTTTATTCCTACTATATCTCAATATAATACTAATATTTTTAAAACTACGTGCAAAAAGCAAATAGATACTTACTTTTGGGATGGAGGGAGTACTTCTTTTGTCCAAGTTAAATGTATTTATTTTGTCAGTTCATTTGTTTGTCCAAACCTAATATATATGTTTTTTTTTTTAGTTAAAATAACTTTCAACTAAATACCAAAATATTCACGTTATGTTCTCTAACACTATTTTTCAATTACGATATTCCAAAAATAATAATAATAAAATATAAAATATTTTATTACAAAAATAAAAAAATAAAAATACTCGTTATAAAAAGTCAAAAAGTCATTATGAAAAAGTTAAAAAGCCAAACATTCAACCTAACATAATAATTTTATATTTTTGACACAATTCTCCATATTACACACAAAAAATTATTTCATCCAAACGCTGCGTGAACGGTGTGTTTTTTATATAATCTCACTAGCTTTAAGGGTAAAATAGACTTTACACTTTTTTTATTATATTATACATTTATAAAATATTATTCCCTCCTTCCACAAACTAACTTCCTATTTTCCTATTTGGAATGTCCAATAATTATTGTCCTCTTTCTATTTTTATACACAAAATTTACTCTTTTACCCTTACTTTATTTACTCTTTCATTTTCTATACACAAGATTAAGGGCAAATTTGTTATTTTATAACAAAAACCCTAATTACCTAAAAATGCGTGTAAATATCAAATAGGACATTAGAAAATAGACGGAGGAAGTAGTATATTTGCATTCTTATGCAAAAGCCAAATGGATACCTTTCATTTGGATGGAGGGGGTATTAAAAAAATAAACACGCATTAACATAATATAATTAGTAAATAATTAATAATGTATTATTCAAATAAATTATACTTCTTTCGTCCCAATACAATAGTTTTGTTTACTATTTTTGTCCGTCCCAAAACAATAGTCACATTTCTATAAATAACCATATCACTATAAAACTACATTTACTTTTTCATTATTATTACACAATTGCCCCTACTTTTTACACTAATACACTCACAAGAGCAAAAAAATCTTTTACCTGTATTTTTTATCCACTACCAATATAATATCAATATTCTTTAAATCTCGTGTCAAACACAACCCATATTATAGATCTGGGACGGAGGGAGTAATAGATTCTAAATAATTATAGATTAAAATAATAAATTAATTAATCTGTTAAAACTTTAAAAAATTACAAGTTAAAAAATGTAATTAAAGAGTATAAACTTTTTTTTGAAAAAAAAAAATATATCTTGAAATGTGACACATACAAAAACAGCAATATAGACACGATATGTGAAACAACAAAATGAGTATATATTTTATCGATTCACAAAAAATCAATAATTCAACATAAAATTTTATTTTTATATATCCAACGTAATTCTTCATATATATATATAATATAAAAATTATATTAATCTAAAACATATTACATTAGGGAACAAAAAGGTGAGAAATGTTATGCTTGTGTGTGAGCTCAAACATGTTTTGTGTCAATAAATAGGAGTATATTCTAATTATAATATCTCATAAAATATCATATTTAAATTACTGTTTAAATAAAAATAAATAAATTTTAAAATAGCACTCTCACCACTCCAAGAATGTAAAGTTTTTTTTTTTTTTTTTTTTTTCATGACGTATAATTTATTTAGTATGACTTCTTATAATCAATCGGAGTTTATCCATAACACATTTAAAAAATAATAATTGTAAATTTCTCAACTTGTAAAAAAATAAAATAAAATAATATAAAAAAAAAATAAAAATGGAGCAATAAATATATGTATATAGATCCACCTAGAAATTCAAGCACACAATTAAACATAGACTTTTAGACATGTTAGGTGGGGACATGGTCGGCTATGGCAGGGCAAAAACGTAATTTGACTTTTTAATTACTTCATAATAATAAATTAAATTTAAAAAATACATTTATTACTTTTATAATATTTACATAATTTCCTATAATTTATATTAAAAAAAAAAATCCTTGAAACCAAAATACAAAACAAACATATTTTATAATGTGGATTATGTTTTAATAAATATTTATCGGCACTATATTGATTAATATTCAATATTTTCAATACTTAAAACATTTCGTATAATTATGATTTATATATATATAAATACATATATCTTAAATATAAATTAATTTATCAGGAAAGAATAGTATTTGATATTATAACACCATAATACAAAATGTGTAGTATTTCTCAATATTATACCCCAATTGAACAATAATTTAGTTAAAATTTTATTACAAAACATTTAGGCTCCATTTAAATTGAAATTTTGGAGTTTTAGGAATATAGGAAAAAAATATTTGTGGTAACATTTTTTAAGAAAAAATTATTTTAAATAAATACTTTGTCCGTTCCTTAACAATCTATCCATTTTTACATTTTGGTCAATCTCATAACAAAGGTATTAATTTTTTTTTTAAGTAATTGTACTATCTACCTAATATTACAAATACCCTTCCAATTTACAATATATTACACAAATATCATTACCTTTATATCATACAATATTAATATGATTAATTTAGTTTTTTTTACCTTATTTATACTTTATACCAATATAATATTAATATTTTTAAACTTTACAGAAAACAAATGAATATATAAATATGGGACGGAGAAAATAGTATAAGACATCTTCAACCCACTGCATAAATGCAGTGTTACCCCATCCCAACCTTATTTCCTCATCCATTTTTGGGGATAGCTTCGCTTCATTTTTGGAGTAGAGCATTTTGTATATTTTGGTTATTTTTGTGGTATACTGTGTAATTTTATTTTTAAAAAATAATATATAATTTTATTTTTTTATAAACAATAATATATAATTTATTTTTTTTAGAAAAGTGATATGTAAGTGTATAAATAAATATATGAATTATATATTCCCTTTGTCCGCCTCTAAAAGTTACATTTACCAACATTGTATTTAATCTTAAAAATATCTTT